TAACAATGATTTTTTTTAGGAAAAAGAGATATATACAAAACAATAGTAAATAATTAAAAAGTTAGTCTTAACAAATAATGATTAAAAAATATAATAGTAACAATAAAAAAGTGATAACAAATACTAAAAACAGAGTAAAATATATTAAAAAATAGAATATAAATATTTAAATCTTCATATTTAAATAGAAATAGAAACTAAAACATAAATAATATTAACTACAAACCTCTTATCTTTTAATTTGTTAACTTGATGGGTACAAATGCGAATCTTGGGAATTCTAATGTCCCAAGGTACAGTAAGCAGCTAGAAAAAGTACAGTAAGCAGCTAGAAAAGGTACAGTAAGCAGCTAGAAAAGGTAAAGTGAGCAGTTAGAAAAGATACAATAAGCAGCAAGAAAAGGTACACCTAGAAAATTCACAGCTATAAAAGGTACAGTAAGCAGCTAAAAAAATTATTGCAACAACAAAGATTGACAAAAGCACCAGCAATATGAGAATCAAATTAACAAAAAAAGAATAAGAAAAAAAAAAAACCCACCCTTCCACCAGTAAAATTAGATAAAAATTCACTTTCTGGAATAGATACTACATAGTCTCTAAAATTCCGTTGAAGAATACCAACAACACAACCTGTTACCATTGTTTTTGACTCTTTTTCTAAAATAGTCTTGTCTAAAAATAAGTAACGCACGTTAGTAAAAAAAAACTTTTATTGTGATAGAAGTGTTTATTATTAGATATTTAAGATAAATCTTAAATATATATTTAAGATTATATTTATATAAAAACTTTTTTATTTATATTCAAATATATAAAACTTTTTATTTAAATAAAATTACAAGTTAAATTAAAATAAAATTGAAAACTTTATTTTAATTTAATTGGAAAAATAAAAATGAAAATGAAAATTTAACATTAAATATTAAATAAAATAAAAACCATCATTTAAAGTAATTGAGGTCACTTTTGCTTGCCACTTTTCTCTTGGCAACAATTCAACAACAACCAAATCACCATCAACTGCTCTATTTCTAAAAAAAAATTAAAAATTAAAAAATTAATACTTTTTCAAAAAAATTAACACTTTTTAAAATGATTTTATTTAAAAATTTTCACAATAAAAATCTTCTGACAAGAAAAAACAAAAAAAGCCATAAGAAATTTGAATGGTTAGCACAATTTTTTTTCAACATGCTGACTTTTTGTCATGCATGCAAGTAAATGCTTGACAAAAAGTTTTTTCACCTTTACATTACTGATTAACAAAATACATTACATAAACAAAAAAAATTTAAATACAACTATTTTTTTTACAACAAAAAACAATATTTTTTGTTATAAAAATGAAGAGAAAGAAAACATAAGTATTGGCATACGTGTATATATATATATATATATATGTGAGTGTTTGTGTTTATATATATATATATATATATATATATATATATATATATATATATATATATATATCAGGGTGTTACCCAGCCTGATGGCACCGCGTATAACGCGATATTCCTAATTGGTTTTAAATTCCCAAAGGTTTATAAGATCAAAGTAAAAAAATTAAGTCAGTCTCAGATTTAAAGTGTTGCGCTAGACTAGTAAAAATTAGTATGCAAATGAATTAAATTGATTGATTTTTTTAATGTGTAAAAATGTGTCGTCATTAACAAGCGTCATTAAACTTTACAAGATCAAAAGTTAAAAAAAAACTTTTTTTTTGACGACACTTATTCTTGAGATCAGATTTTTCTTTATTTTTTTAAATTTTTTTAAATTGCGCTTTTCTCGAAATACGTAATTAAGGCGTTTTGAAAAAAGGCTGCAGTATATCAAAAACAAAGAAAAGAAGCGATTTAAATGAAAACTTTAGAAGATTGCTCATAATGAAACAAGTTGATTAATCAAAATTAAACATATATAAAGTAGAAAAATAATCCTGCTATAAATATAACTCCCAGCAAAAATAGAAAATTTATTTTGATTAAAATGTAATTGCAGAATGTAAGGACTTTTTTTTTTTTTTTTTTTAGCCGCATCTAAATTCCCAATTTCTTAAAAACGCTGTATTAAATTTTTTCCTGGGTAACACCCTGTATATATATATATATATATATATATATATATATATATATATATATATATATATATATATATATTACAGATTATAAAAAAATCATTACATCCATGACAACTCAGTCCTGTTTGCTAAACAACAGCTAAAGTTTGCTATAATCCAAGTAATGTTAAACAGAGTTGTCATTATAATTCTGAAATAAAATTCTTTGATTTTCCCTAACTTTTTAAATTAAATTCTGCTTAATTCTCCCTAATATTTATATCGTTCATTATCAAAATTTGGCATTAACCTCCAGACATGATACTTTTACCCTCCAAAGAAAAAAGATCCTTTGATTAACATATATAAGGAAAATCTGGAAAATAATTTGTTAGATAATAAAAATAATCAAAAACTTTGAACAATGACATAACATTTTTAAAAAATAGCTGAAATTAGCAAAATGGTCTTTGAAATAAATATCTATGCTAATACTAAAAGCCCTTTATACTTCATTCAAATCTTTTTCTGCTCATCAAGTCCTAATATTTCTTGATTCAACAACATAATAACATTTCTTTTTCTTTTGTTTACATCTTTCTACTCTCCTCTAGCTAGTTTTTATATTTCAACGAGGTGTTAAAACAGCCTTTATCATTTCACTGTTGATTTAACTTGATGAGCCTTCAATTTGTTTGATTCAACAATTCCCTCAACAATTTCAACCATGAACAAATAAAAAAATGAGTATCAAGACCAGAAAAACTTGTATTCTATACCAACTTTGATGGTTTCAAAAAAAAAATTAGTTTAAATGAATTCCAGAGTGAAATCTTTAAAATTTGTATAAAAAGCAAGACTGCATTCATTTAAAGAGATATACAAGCAGGAAAAAATTAAATTTTTCTTGTGTTTTTTTTTTAGAATTAAATTCGAACTGATGTAATCTTCCAGAAAAGATGATTAATTTAAATTTGTTGCAAATTTTTTTCAAGAGTTAAAATAAATATAAGCTGACAATCATTCATGAATCTATGATCATATATATTTCTGATCATATATATGACAATCATGAATCTATTGATCATATAAATCATTCATGAATCTATTGATCATATCTTAAGAATACACACCCTTACTCTTCAACTCCATAATGTTACATTCTACTGCAAATCTAATTATCATTGATTTTAAAAGTAGAAAATTCTTTTTAGTGAAATAAAATTGTCAAAGTTGCCTCCCATTGGTTCCATTCACATCTCCATGCCTCCCATTGGTTCCATTCACATCCCCATGCCTCCCATTGACAATGCTGCTCAAAACATCTTGTTTGATTAATAAACTCATTAAGCTTTTAGCAGTTGATAAAATATCTTCCAAGAGAAATGGATTTATTGGTCTGATATCTTCTGCAACTAACTAGTAATATAACTAAAAAAGTTCAATAAATTGAAAGTTAGTTAATCCTTAAATCGCTCTAAGACTATATTACAACTATTGCACTTTGGTTGCTTACTTTTAGTTAAAGCTTCCCAATACTTTGTCATTTTTTCAAGTTTTTGTCTAAATTAAACATATTTTCTCGGCTACTTTTTGGTTTTTGACCCTCTGTGAGGAAAAGATATAAAAGGTTGCATTAAGCTTCCATTAACCTCTCTGAAAAACCAGTTTGAAGAGCACCATGGATTAAATGGAGGTTGTAACTCCCAATATCAAGAAGTTGATAGCTAATGTTGCTCAAACTGCTTTTCAATAAATCAACAAACAACCAGTTCACATTTGGGCTATGCATAAACAGCTTTGTCAGATTTATACTATTAATTGTTGCCAAATTTGTAGCCATACTTTTATATAAGTTTTTTGGCAATCACAAAGCTGAAAACTATGTGGAGTTAGTGCAGACTCTCATAAAGAATTACGCCAAAATTGGATGTCTGAGAAGATTCATACCCTTGATTCGCACCTTAAAAAATTCAAAGAGAACATTGGTGCTTTCTTCAACTAGCAAGCGATTTCATCACGATATTTGATGAAAGTACTAAATATTTTAGAGTGGTTTCCAAATGTGTTTAGCTATTCCTTGTGCAATTTTTACCTGATCATAATGATAAAAATGAAAAAAAAATTGTTCTATTTTTTACAAAAAAAAAAACTAGTTTTCTTCATGCTGTTGTTGTGTAAGCAAAATTTGTGCTTAATGAAGTCATTTTTCACATACTTTAGACATAAGCAGTTGAAGACATGAGCAGTTGAAATATCACACTTAGAAGCCAAGAACAAAAATTATGATACATAGTGTTACATATTGTTATATGCATGAATTTAAATACAAAAAAAAAAATCTATAACAATCAAATCACCTTAGAGCTGTACCAGGAATTAGGATATCACTACTTTGTGAAGTTTCCTTTGAATCTCTAAGAATACACAAAAAATATAATTTGTATTATCATATTACATATTTCAAAATTGTGAAATTTATGTAACTTTTAATATTACTATTAAACAATTTAAGGTTTAAACAAACTATTTTAATTCAGATTAGACCCACCCACCATATTCAAACACCCTTATCCACCCTATTCAAACATCCCTTACCCAATCTATTCAAACACCCCTAAATTAAGATTAAAACCACTGAAAGCTTTAAAAAATTTTTAAACAAAATTAGCCAATTTAAAAGATATAAAGGAGGAGTAAAAATAAATAGTACAACAAGAATTTAAATATGATAAAAATAGTATGTCAACAAGTTGACATACTATTGTTATCATATTTATCTAACTCTAAATAAAGAATTTCTCGCTTGAAAGGAACTGCTAGAAAATCTCCTTGAAAAGTGTTTAATTTCTCAAAACTTTTTAAAATAATTTTTCTTACTCCTGGTCTATGTGATTTTATATACATATATAAATCACATACATATATATATATGCATTATATATATGTTATATATATATATATATATATATATATATATATATATATATATATATATATATATATATATATATATATATATATATATATATATATATATATATATGTTATACAATATGTGTTATAAAAAATAGCTTAGCTCATTACTTCTTTGTGATTTTGAGGTCATAAAATTATCCTAATTTTTTTAATTATTTAAGGACTTTTTTTTCAAACTACCACAATAAAATAAATTACAGCAAAACAACTTTACTTTACTAATTGAGAAAAACAAATTTTGTAAATGTACATATAGTGGAATGTCTATTTTGTTTCAATTTTTTTTTTTAAATTTTAAATTTACTTTTTTTATTATCATTATTAAAATATATATATTTTTATCATTAATTTTTAAAATTGGGACTTTGCAAATAATGATTTTATACTTTTAAAAAGTTATTAACAAACAATAAATATTACTTATTGCAAAAAAAAAAAACTAATATATATCAGGCCTTGTTTTAAATAACAAATGCTTATTGCATCAGCTTAATGTGAATTTAATGTTATAAAATTCTTTTTATATTTTTATTTTTTAAAGACATTAACTTTTTCAAATTACTGCAATAATATTAAGATTACTGCAAAACAAGTTAAATATTGTTTAACTCGTTTCTTTCATTTTTTTTTATATTAAATAATTAAATTTGATATTAAACTAAAAAAAAATTTTTTCATGTAAAAAATTATTTTCCTCAAGATTTGTATAAATGAATTAAAATATATTTATTTAAAAAAACAAACATATTTTTAATCATTAAAAAAAATTTTATTTGCACATTTTTTTTAATCAAAAAAAAATTGTCACTAAAAATTTTTTTGTTTTTTAAAAAAATTAGCAAGTAACATAAAAAAATTATGTTAATTTATCTACTTTTATTTATTAAAAGTTTATTATTTTATAAACAATTTTATTGTGAAAGCAAAGATTATTTTTTTCAAACAACATTTATTAAAAAAAAAAAAGTTTAACTTACATTTTGTGTATTGCCATTTATTTAAAATTTAAGTTTGAGTAATAAAAAAATGTTTTGGAAGGAAAACCGAAAAATCAATTGCGATAAAAATGAGCTTATTTTCTTTTAAGAACAAATTAAATTCAAATATTGAATAATATTTAGTAATTAAAAAAAAAAATTCAAATATTGAATAATATTTAGTAATAAAAAAAAAAAAAAAAAAATGACAGTTTAGTTAAACCCAAGCATTGACTTTAATTTAAATAAACTTAAATATATTTTTTAAATCAAAATTTAATTGTATTTTTTTTAAATCTAAATTAATTTTTTTTTTTTATTATCAGAATAAAATTATATATTTTTGTTAAATTAGTTTTAAATTATTCATTTATTTTTTTATCAGAAATAAATTACATTATAATGATCTGCTTCAAGCTTAAATCAATAGCGTTTTTCAAGCGAAATAATCAATCATTACAAAAAAAAAAAAAAAAAATTAAGTAGAAATTAATTATTACAATAGAAATAGAGATTTAAGTAAACTTTTTTAATGCAATCAAAAGTTGCATAAACAATTCTTGTCCTCTCAAGATAATAAATAGAAGTTTTTATTATATATATATTTCTTTTATGTTTTCTTTTATTTTTTTAATAACTTCGCATGAAAAAAAATAAATAATCGTTACAATAAACAATTTTGTTTTCTGTTCGATAAAATAATTAGCTTAATAAAGATTAAGTTTTTGTAGTTTTTAATTTTTTTATTAGTAAATAGCGCTTACATCTAACATAATTGTCATTCAAACTTATTTTACATAATCGTCAAAGTGGTTTTTTATAAAATTAATTACTTTTTTTATCTTACCACTTAATAGAGTAATTTAAAAGTGTTTAAAAAATATCAAGAGTTGCTTCATGCAAATTGCTTTAGGCGTACGCAATTCGTACAGAAATTGCTGACAGCTTAATGCTTTAAAACAAACTCTGATATATATATATATATATATATATATATATATATATATATATATATATATATATATATATATATATATATATATATATGGCTGCGAAGAAAGACCTTAAAGTCATTGATTAGTTTTGATTACAACTTGTTATTAGATTTACAATATACAAAGTTTATATATAATAAATGATTCAAAAAATGAAAATTTTATTTTTATTTAATTATGTATATCAAATGGAACCCATCTAATTACTGTTTGCAATTTTTGTATCCGATGTTTTATTTTAATTGATTAACTAATCTAAAGTTGCTAAGTTGACTATATATATCTAAAGCTTTTGATAGTTTGGCATGCTGGTCTTCTCCATAAGCTTTCTTTTATGGTGTATCAGGTAACATCTTTAAGATTATCGAATCTTTCCTTTCCAATCATAATATAAAAGTTGACTTCAATGGACAGCACTCTTCTTCATATCCTGTAAGGGTTCCTCAAGGTTCTATCCTTGGCCCTAGACTCTTTTTAATTTACATTAACAATCTTCCAGATATTCTTACATCTAAGGTGGCATTGTTTGCTGATGATACTACTATTTGTTCTTGTCTTGATAAGAAGCTAACACTCTCTTGGCTTGGAGGAGGCATTTGAGCATGAAAAGTATTTCACTTCTGCTACAGGATGGGGCTCTCAGTGGCTGGTGAACTTTAATTCAGATATAATCCAATTTTTTTCAGCCAATTGTTACCACAATAATTTAGATCCCCTTTATTTATGAATGTTGATGCACTCAACAAGTCATCTACCTTTCATCTTCTAGGATTAACTTTTGCTTTCGATCTTTCTTGGAAACCATATATCAAATCCAATGCAAAATTAGCACCTGCTAAGGTTGCATATCTTTCTCATGAAAACCAACTGCTTACTCGGGATTTTATTCTATATCTCTATAAATCTCAAATCCATTGTTGAATGGAATAATGTTGCCATATTTGAGGCAGATCTATGATTCCTTTTCTCTTTTAGATAAGGTGCAAAAAAGCATTGTAAACATAGTTGGACCTGGTCTTGCAGCCAACCTCCAACCATTATCACATTGTCGTAATGCTGCTTCTCTTTCTATTTCTACAAATACTAAAAGAATACTAAAATCACTAGAATCATCAAAAATACTAAAATGGGTACTGTTCTAAAGAACTAGTGTCTCTTGTGCCATCTATTAAAGTTCATTCTTGTGTTACTTGTCATTTAATTAAGTCTCATCCTTTTTCTGTGACTATTCCTAAGTCCAAACTTTTATTCATGTAGCTCCAAAAACTTTTATTCGTCTAGTTTTTTTTTCCTTGAACATCAGTTCTTTGGAATTCGCTTCCTTTATCTTGCTTTCCTGATTCATATAATTTACAATCACGTAAGTCATCTGTCAATCGTTATCTTGTTGTATAAACTTCGTATTTGTCTTCCAGTAACTTTCAACTCTAATAGTGGTTGTTTGCAGCCTTGTTGGATGAAGTCATTTAAAAAAAAAAAATTATATATACTTTTGACTTCAGATGATCTCAAAAAAAAAAAAGTCAGGAGCTGTTAAACCTAGCAACTGAAAAGACCAATTAAAATCACCATAATCTGGAGATAATCTGATCAGGTAAATTCTGCAGCCATTGACTATAACTGCATAGAGTTGTCAACTTTGCGAAAAAAATAAAAAATCATTACTTTGCATCATACAGATACTTTAATTACATTGAAAAGCATAGAACTAATTTGTAATTCTCTAAACTGAACTACTCAATGTTTAAAGCTGTTTAAATATTTTATTTATACTATTTTAAAGCTGTATAAATTATTTCCTTAGTTATTAGTTATTTCCTATTGTAAAACTGATTAAACAGTAGATATTTCCTATTACAAAGCTGTATAAATGGTAGGTTTTTCCTTTTTTAAAGCTGTACAAATGGTAGGTATTTCCTATTATAAACCTGTATAAATGGTAGGCATTTCCTATTAGAAAGCTGTATAAAAGGTAGGTTTTCCCTTTTATTAAGCTGAACAAATGGTAGGTCTTTCCTATTATAAAGCTGTATAAAATCTTTATAAATTTATATAAAACTGCATTTCATCCTACCATTTAATTTTTATTTAACTTTTATTCTTGCATCATTCTGTTGAAACTCATTTCTCAAATTTGCATAGTTGTTACTAATATTTTGTACAAAATCATATATAGATATATACCAAAGAAGACTTTTATGTTTTAACACAAATATTGGTTTGACACCACTGATAAAAAATTGGTCTGATACCAAAATCATTTTATTTAATATTGGTAATGTTTTTCCTTAACTAAGAATAAGTAAGTATGGATAAGCAAACTTTACAACTTTAACTTTTCAATACAACAAGTTGGATTTCTTGCATGTTAAATTTTTTTCCATTAAAGTGCAAGGTAAGTTATTTTTCATAGGAGTTTCTTCAAAGTTGCATTTTCTGTGTCAGCTTGAGCAAGTAATGAGATTTCTCTACCAAGAATATGCTGATTTAAATTAGTCTGCTTTACAGGTGCTAGATCTTTCATTTTTAAAAAGAAATCAACACTTTCTAATAATTATCATTTCTTTGAGTGTTCTAGTTAAGCCATGCCATTTTTTGCCATGCCAAGCCATTTTTTGTTACACTTTTTTTATGGTATGTTGTCAAGTTTTATTCTCATTGTACAAGAGATTTTTTAACATTATCCATATTTTTCATAATGATATGACATTTTCTAGAAAAGATATGATTTAAGAACTATGGTATAATACCTATGCTAAAAAATATTAAATATATATGTAATCTTGAACATTATTGTTCTAAATGTGGTTACTGTGTTTATGACAACAAAGCAATTTACAGTTTAGTGGTTAAATGTGTACTCTGATAAAATATCATATGTGTCAATGCCAACAGGTATTTGTGTAAGTATATTTGCATTTGTGTAAGGTTTAAGGTAAAAAAAATAATAATTTAAATTTTCTAATTTTCTAATTAATTTATAAAGT